TTACAAAAATAGATAATTAGATCGGTACTGTTTACAAAAAGCACCAGATTTTACTGACGCTTTATATCGTAATTGAGATTAATTGGATGATAACCCAAAGCTGATAGAAAAAATCTTGCTTTTACAAGAATAGTATGCTTGGATTTTAGGTGCCACTGAATGATATGTTTGGATATGCCAGTGAGCTGAGGTCTTGCACAGAGGTAAGTACTCTCGGTACTTTTTGCTAGAACACGTTTATTTCTGTAAATCAAGTGTGCTAATTTGCATCGTCATATACATAGCATGTGTGGCAGTAAAAGGGATAAAAATCAAAACAAATGCAGAATGGGAAAATAACCCTAGAGTTTTTACTGTTACTATAACTGCTTTTTAATTAACACAGCTATCATTAGCTGTGTCATTTCTGGCCAAAAGATTCTTTCATGCTTTGAGGAGGAAAGAGACTCAGAGTTGTAAGTAATACAAAGTGATAGGTATCAGTAAAGGTATTAAATTCGCAGGGTGGAAAAGTGTAGACATACTCCTTGAGTTACAAATGTCTGCAAATAGAAGAGATTTTTGACAGCAGTGCTGACGTTATCAAGATGAGCTTTTTTAATAATGTATTTGCCTGTAGCTAGACACTCATTGAATGCGTTTGAGTCAGGTGAGTTTGTGCATCACGTAAAATTTACCGTTCCGCATATCGTGATACACAAGTGCCAGTGTTCTGTGTGCATTTGAATGGGTGGTTGTTAGTATCGTGATCATTTTCTGGTTTTAAGCAGAATTGTCGCACTGGTGGGATGGGAACCACAGGCAGTCTTGCGGTCTTAGGTCAAAGAAACCAGGTTCAGATGCTGTTCACATGGTTTTGTATCTTGTACGTACATGCCTCGGTACACGGTGTTTGTATCCTTCATTGTAAATGGTTATTGCACGTTATTCCACAGATGAGGGTGTGGCCTGCTGCTAAGTAGGATTACGCATTTATCACCCTCACTTTGACCGTTCTTTTCCCAACTCTACAGGGAAAGGGTGAATATACGATGGAATACTGTAAATATCGACCCTGCTCGCCCAGCACTCAAGAAGAAGTAATTAACAAATACCTCGAAGCAACAGGGCGACTTCCTGCAAAAAAGGGCAAAGCCAAGAGCTGACTTTTTTCCTCCTGAGTACACTGAACAGTTTTTCCACAATTTTCTCTAAAAGCTCTGTTGCCCAAGCCACAGAAGCAACCAAGGCTGGCTGGATAAGCGCAGGCTGCAGTGGGACTTGGACTTAAAATTTCATCATCATATCCTCCCTTTGTGGTATTCTCAGAAGCAGCCAGGAGATTACAACAGAATTGTTCCCATGTAAATGCTACTCATTAACAAAATACATAAATGTTAAAACACTGATGGTAATTTGTCTTGAAATTTATCCTGATCCATTTGTATTAAACCAATTTTATTTTTTTACTTGGTACATCATTATTTTGTAATTGGGCTAGTTACTGTTTCTCTGGTTTTGAAAGTTTAAAAATTTTAATTTAGGAGACAGCTAACTATTCACTGCTGGACAGGCACAGGGGACGAGTCGTCACCCAGTACTGAGCATTTTTCAGGTATGTGTTCCGAGCACAGATCCTTTAGCTCCTGCACTTAGAGCATCCAGTCCAGAGAACGAATGTCCATTTTTCCTCCACATCCTTCAGAAATGACGCCAGGAGCTTCCAAATTCCTCACGAACTGGGCAGAGTCATCTGTCACTGCCACTTGCTTGTCACCACGTCTGCTTATCGCTGATGGTGCAAGGCATTGGAAAAGAGTTGACAAGAATGTATGTAGAAGTCCACTCTTCCCAAAACTATGAACGATGGATTTGGTTTATGGGCTTGCTTTCTTAGCAATTTGTTAGAAAACCAAACGAAAGATTGTTTTTCCCAGAATCTTACAATCAAGAGGGTGCGTTGCTGATGATGCTTAGCTTGGGAATTGGCTGGATAGATCTTGCTTACTCACAGAAGAGAGAGAAAACAAGGGTATTACAGTTAGGTGAGAAAGAGAAGATACTATCATCAGTTGTTTGGTTGGGTTTTTTTTAAATTACTACCAGAAGATCCACACTGAATTTTCTTTGCGTGCTCTCTCTTCCTGACCTACTCAGCTTAACAGCATTTTTGCAGACTTCCAGTAAACAGAAACTGAAGTTCCAGTTCAAAACCAGCTACATTCCTGGCACGGGGCTGTGGTTGATGTGTACCAGACGCAGACAGAACTGTAATGGCTGGGCTTCTTCTCCTCAGCCTTCACAGAAAGACAGCGAGAACTATTTATTTTAACCTTGGAAGAAAGAACAGTGTCAGAGATTTGTCAGGGGCATGTAAACGCTAACGAAACGCAGGCATGATGTATGCCAGTATGGTGTTGCTTTGGGTCAAATCCTTCTTGATTCCCTTGCATTCGTAGCTTTGTTTTTGTGAAAATACTCAGCTGGAACTTGTTTCAAGAAAAGCCCTGCGGGTTCTCTGACATATGGAGATTTTCTTAAACAAGCAAATATAGCACATTTACCAAAATTCAAAGATGTCTTATAAAAGCAGTATGAATGCAAGAATGGAACGGGGCGGTTATTATTTTATTTATATCTATGGCTTTTATATTATGCTTCGTAGAGGCCAGTCATGATGTGAATTCCGGGCTACTGGGTTCTTCCAGACGTGTGCTGGTTCGCCACAAACCCGAGGCGGCCGAAGCGAGCGGGGCCTGGGGTAGCCCAGGGTAGGGACCGCGGGGGCACAGCGGGCTGTGCTGAACTGAAGGGCGAGGGAGAACATCTGTGGCGGGGGGGAAGGTTAGTGGGGTGTGGGGGACAGCGGAAGGCGGCCAGAAGCGCAAGCAAGAGCCTAATTTTGGGGTGTCCTGGATTTTGGGTTTTTGTGCATAATGTTTTTGTTGTTTTTTTTTTTCTTTAATTGAATTTTAGATAGCATTCAGAGTATATGGTGACTTAGCTGAACTCTTCCTAGCAGCAAAGACGGAAGAGAGCAATTCCTCTCCTCTTGTCTACACCTCTTACAAATAGGCTCTGCATGGTCTTTTTAGCCTGAAAAATTCACTGTGAGCCCCTGAGAGCCTCGACTCGGATGATGTCTACATTGACGTAACCAAGAATTCTGCTTGAGTGAAAACCGTACGATTGCAGGTTCTGACCCACTGGCTGAAATCTTGGCCCTAAAGAAGCTGGTGGAAATTTTGTCTTTGATTTCCAACAGGTGTGCTGCTCGTCCAGAAGTTACTGCGCAGTTTCTTAGCTGATGTCAGTTTGCATTGCTGGTTAGAAGTCAAAGTTGCACCCAGCGGGCAAGTTGGAAGTGCCTGATCCTCTGTTCTAGGTCTGGAGAGCGGTGGCAAAAACAGGGTAAGGAGACTAAACTGCTGGTTAAGTGCCTTGCTAAAGTATGCAGCATTCATAACATTTTCTTGGTTTAGTTCTAAAAAATACTTTATTCACCAATTTCTTTAAGAACTGTTGCCATTATAAGCTCTGATGTCATGCTTTTGATGATGAGAAACGGTTTACCAGCGCAAAAGAAAACACCAAGGGTATGTGAAATGCTGCTTCGCTGAATTTATTGTAATGCCTATTATGTGCTGATATCAAAAGCTTCGGTCAGTAAAAGTATGCCAGACTGATACACCTGTGCCGAATGCCTGAATGTTGGGGGGTTAACAGATCACCCAGCCTAAATATCCCCCAGTTAAAGCTTTCATGTTAAATACCTTAATCATTGTTACCGATTACAGATCAATGATAGCGCGATATACCACAAGTTATAAAGAACATAACAATCCCAGAAGGCAGAGACCGTCGCCTGTTTTCCTATGGAAGATGTACTTATTGGTAAGGAGTTAATTTAACCTGGCAGAAATCTTGCTAATGGGGGGGAAAAAAAAAAAGAGAGAGTTTGGCACAGTCTTGAAGAAAGGCAGGGCAGCGGGTCTGCTGTAAACCCCAAGGGAGAATTCGGTGTGAAAGGACAGAAAGGTGCTCTTGCCGTGGGATTTGGTTGTGTTGAGGCGGCGTACAAGACATGGCAGTTGTTAACGTAAGAGCTGTTTGGGGGGGGGTATTCTGGCAGCGGGCTGTTCCCCCACCAAACCCAAAGGTGGAAATTTGTCTGTACAGAGCCTGCTCTGTCTGCTTTCGTTGGAGGTAATGGCAAGAACTGCAAATGGACAAAGACGACATCCTCGGTTCTTGCCTGACAAACACTGCCGTGCAGTGTTCTGCACTGGTGACCGATGTGGGGAGGCAACAAAACCTGTTTTCCTTATATCGATATTGTCTGACTTGCCTTCACCAATACGAGAGAAGAAACTTTCTTTTTATGTCGGCTCACACTGCGGGGCACAGCGGTGTGGCAGCGGGAATGGGACCACGCGGATGCTGGGTCCTGGCTCCTGCAGGGCCCTGTGGGGAGACGTGACCCTGCCTGCGCTCATCCACTTCCTTTTCCAGGCCAGACGCTGGGAGGAGGTGGAAAGTTGGGGTCAAATAGCAGCATTGTGAAAGAAAACCCAACCTCGACCCTGTGTCATGGGATTTTTTTTTATTGGAGATGCGAGTTAAAAATCAGCATGTCTCTATCCCAAAAAATGAAAGAAAAAAAAAAAATTAGTAGACAAATATTTCATAGTGACAGACGAATGCTTTTCTCAAGATTTTTATCCAAATATATTAACTTTGTTTACAAACTATGTTACTCTAAGTAACAGTACATTAGTGACATAAAATCAACTTGTGTATGTTTATCTGTGTATATATGTAGTAGCAAAGGTTTTAGGTAGAACTCTAGAACATGAGTCTTGCAGTTTAAGAAATTACAGGAATTAATTTTGGAACAAAACAGACTAGTGAAAGCATTCAAATTCACTGTTCGACTTGTATAGAAAAATTATCACAACTCCAAGTCCATTAACGCAAGGATTTTCTGATTTAATACATACACATAAAGCTGACAATCCCTTTTAAAAATTTGCTCCCCTTTCATGTAAAATCCCAGCAGCTGATCCAGATTCCATTCCAGATCCGTCTTCGAGCCCCTGATTCTCCGAAGCACAGAAGTATTTCACTTTCATAGGGTGACCAGGAAGCCAAGTGAGGCGCATGTGACAAGGAATAATTTCCTGGAGAACAGATTTAAAAAATACACATCGTTTATGATGCTTCTACTGTTCCTCTGTTGACGAAAGGAGATATTATAGGCATACGCTTTTTTACCTGTGTTGGAATTTCATGGAGTAGGACAGTGTAGTCAAACTCAATAAAATCATCTTTCCTCATCTGGGCATGTATCAAAAAGAAAAAAAAATTATCAAGAACACAAGTTATATTGTTGAAAGTGAGAGTCTACTCTGATCTGTGTGTGACAGCATTTAGCTTGCTTAGGGAGCGAGATGAATAGGGGGTGAGATGGCTGTGGTCGTTGGCTGGAGCGAGACGGGTTTTGTGTGGGGAGAGACGGGGAATTAGGAGCCCTTCCTGCAGAAAAGCTTTGAAGGCGCTAACTGCAGTGTGGCTCTGTGGTCCGATTGTTCTCTGACCTGAAACTCGGCTGCCTCAGGTGCTAATTAATTGAGTTTAATCCTCAAAGAAATTTGAGAATCTTACCTGACTATTAATCTGTGCTTCAGAGAAGTCTCATGCTGAATAACTAGGGAGTGAAAACCAAACACTGACTAATGATTGCAGGCGACTAAGGGAATTAAGGCTTTGGGAACTCCGACTTGATACAGCGCAGGTGTAAGATCCGCTTCCCAGAGAGCGTACTTCAGGTGCTAGACTGGTGCTACCTCTGAGCTTGGCCAGGAGGGAGTACTAGGAGCGACTTGGTATGGGGCTGATGAACTGCAGGACCATATGTTCAAATCTCCTGATTAAACCCACAGAAGCCAACAGATCCACTCATGCAAACAAGGAAAACCAAATTTTGTCCAAATGAGTAAAATTTTTCCACCAAAACCTGGACAAAATACTTGTCCGGAGGCGGAGATACTTGTGTGGAGAAGCCACGGGGATTTGGGGAGAATCGCACCCATCACAGAGAGCGTGAGCTGTTGACGGCTCTTTTATTCTCTGCTGCTTGGTAGGCTCTGTTAGCTTCTGTAACGCAGAGGTGCAATTTCCACTTCGCTTACCCACTGCTTCACAGACTTGACTTGTGCCATGAAGTAGCCCAGGTTCTCTGTTGACTTTTCCCACATGATGTAACTGCTGCCGGCAACAGCCAAAGTCCATGCCGGCTCCAGGGCAGGTTCAATATTGCCGTAGCTGTCTGCAAGGGAGGGAGAGAGTAATGCAGAAATGATTAATTCTGGCTGTTCAACAGAAAAATGATAAACCAGAGAGCACTTTTGCTTGGCCTAGCACTCTTCATGGGAAGTGACTCTTCCCTCTGAGGTGTTACGCTCTTGAACAGGGAGGAGAATGATGCTAAACCTGCAGTCCCGGTAAAAGTACGAGAGCGTGACAGAACTGGAATGGCCAAGAGATGCTATTCACAGGGCCCCACGAGGAGGTGAGAAACCCAATATCCCCGATAATGGAGGTCCTTACCTAGCCGGGAGGAAAAGAGGGACTGGAGTTTTTTCCAGAGTGGAAAAATTCTATTAGTCATCCCTGGTGAATTTCCAGCCACAGCTGGGGCAGGTGTGTGGGTTGAGGCAGTTGGTGTTACTTGAGGACATTTTGCATTTACTTGAATAGAAAATGGCACAGGCTTGCTTTTAAATCCAGAACATCTTCACAGCGTTGTGTTGACTACCACTGTTGCTAAACGCAGTGTTTTTTTCGCCCCAAGAATCACTGGCAAGGTGGAATTGTTTTGATAGTTAGCTCTACGGTTTTAGGGTGCTACTGTAAAGATATGCGTTTCCTTTTGAAATGCATGTACATTTGCTTGTGTTCTTAAAATGCTCTTTAAGATAAAATGAAATATTCAGAGGAATATACCTGGAATATTGTTTCCAATTATTGGTTTGGTTTGGCGCCTAATTTTTTGGTAAAGTCTGTTGTCCTCTTCTTGGATTTGCTTCTGGTCTTTGGTACGCGTGCACTTGATATTGACAACAGGCGGAGACTTTGTCTTGGAATACAACACTGTAGCAAGGCAGCTCCCAGCATTTTCCTGTAAAGGTAGAATTTAAAACTCTTATCTTTAATCAAGATTTTTTTTTACCAGCGACACATTCTTGAAAAAGAATGTGACGTATATATGTAGAGTACATACATGTCTTCGTGAGACGCTTTGTATGAAGCTGTACAGGGGTCAAGAAAGTCTTTGGAAGGAAATAATTTTTTTTTCTAGAAAAATAAATAGGTTAAAACCACAAGGCTAAAGCGATTTAACAGACGTTTTTAACTAAAGTGTAGCAGAAGTGCACTAAGTCATCTTGGAAATATGTTTGAGAGTTCTCAAGCAGTAACATTAATTGGTAACAGGGACTTTCATTGTATGATACTTCAGCCTTGAAACAAAAATAATCTAATGCTTCATATTAAATTCTGAACGTAATCTGAATTTCATAAAATGTGTGTGTAATAGAAAAGCAGATGCTTACAGTAAATTTGCTAATGACAGCTGTGACAGAATGAATGGGGGGGGGTGTATAATTAAAAAGAACCCACAGCTGTCAGCTCTTTATTCTCATTTTGGTGTGTGGACACAGCAGGAGCTACGATGGGATAACGAGGACCACGGTGTGACACTGGGTTTGGACCATCGCAAAGTTTCACTCAGGCACTTGGTTGCCTGATGTGACTTGCAAGGAGGCAATCCCTTCAGGCCTGGAGCAAAGCGGGTAGCTACAGTGCTCTGCGCACTGGGACCCCGGCGGTGGCAGAGATACTGGGGTGATCCGAAGAGCAAACCATGCTCTGTGCTGGACAGGCAAGTCGAAGCAGAAAGGTAAGTCTTTCCGTTGTGAAAGATCCGGCTATGACAGCACTTAAATATAACCCGTTTTGCAGATGTTGAAGTTCATTTTATGCACACTGTTGGAAGAAACGTGGAGGACCATAAACTCACCCCGCTTTCGTAGTCTTCGGTAGTGAACTGCAGGTAATACTTGTGACCAGAGTTGGGGATGCTCTGGAAGAGAGAAGGATTCAGCCGTCAGTGTAACTATCGCCTTACGCACTGTACCTTGCTGAGGGGTTGCCGTGAGCACTGAGGAGGGAAAACGAGGGTGCCATGGCTGCCTCGTAGCCTTGTGGCATCAGGGAATCAGTCCGATGAGATGCGCTGAGATGATCCTAGCAGCAAACACAAAGGGTCTTAACATCAACAGTAAATAGCCCTTATATTAAGGGGTGTTTTAAAGCCTTTCCTCACAGAGGGGTGCAAGAAGAAAAGTGCAGCTCAAAGTCCTTCACAGGGCAGATTGATACTGAGTAACTTTAAAAACAATAAAATTACAAATCAGCGTTTGGCTTCTGAGGAGGTATTTTTTGCACAGGCTATCAGAGTGCCCTTGAATATATAAATGAATCAAATCTTGCTGACTGATTCACAGCTGAACAGGAATTACACAGGCTAATTTAATCTGGGGGATGCTAACCTTTCTAGTTGTTTTTTTTTCTGTTGTGACTGGAAAGAGACTACTTTTCACTACATAACATGTCAGAGCAGGATTCTGATCTGTCCACTCTGTTTTGCCCTGAAAATACCAGTGATTAAGTTGCCCAACCAACTCTCTGAGATTCTGCTTGGTTTGTTTGTTTTTGTTTTTTTCCTGTTGCTGACAGAAATGGTTAACAAATTGTATTTTTGCTGTGGGATATCACAGACTGTGCTGGCCCCAAGCATGCTGAAATAGAAACTATCTTTTCATGTTGGCCATGAAAAATACTAATTACCCTGAAACAGTATCAATGTCTCATTCAGTAGTATAAGAGCAGAGCCTAATAAAAAGTATTTGCATTATCTGCTCTTTACTTCATTAGTCAGTCTCTTCCTTTCCTACCAACTTTTATATTCACGTTTAGAATTTCTATATTTTTGAGTGGGGAGTCATGAGTAACAAAATAGCATGGAAAACTTTATCATCTTACAAGGAATTAGTTAAATAAATATATTATGTGTCATCTAATGGTTTGATACATTTCCAAGCCTTTCCTCTGATTAAATCATCCAGAAATAAATGGAAGAAATTAAGTCTTTTTGTATGTTATACTGTGATTTATTAGACAAGCTTTCTGATATACAAGCCAGGTCGCTTCTGTGTCTGAAAGTTTATTCCTTTTGCCTATATTACCTGGTTTAATAAGAGGCATTCTCACTTGTCATAAAGCTCTTCTCGCTTCTGTTTGCTGCTGGTGCAGGCTATACTCTGCTTTCCTTTGTGCGGCATGTGTGAGGTAGTATGTAGAAAATGCATTTTACTGGAGAATGCAAGCTGCCTTCTAAAGTGCGCATTTAAGTCAAGTTGCTGTATTCCAGCAACAGCACTGATTTGTTGGTCATATTTGTATTTTAAATACAATACTCTTCAGATAAACAGGAGGGCAATTCTGGCCCTTTGCATAGTGTTGAAGATTAGAACCCAAAGCAAAGATGCATGTTTTCTTTATCTAAACTTGGGCCTTTGTGTTCCCATCATACTTTCTTCCAGGAAGCTATTAATCGCATAATGTTGGCAAAATTTCATTCCCAGGGCAAGGCCATCAGCCTAGTCCCTCCCTTTAGTACATACACGGAGTTGGATGCTGCAGATAAAAGGACGAATTGGTTTAGTCGCTTGCTCTAGTTTTATAAAATCCCTTCTTGAACCTTTATGATGAGTCAAGTCTTGGGCTGGACCCAGATCACACTGTGAAGGGAATGGAGGAAACGGAGAGGGGATGAGTTCAGACCTTTGTGATCTCTTTCTTCTCTGCCTCCTCGTTCTCCCCTTCTCCTGCCCCTGTTCTGTGTATTGGCTAAAATGTTGTCCTTAAAATGACAGAGAATGTGACCTGAGGAGACACTCTTAGCATAGCAAAACAGTAAAAACTCAGTTTCTGCAATGCAGGTTTACAAAACAATCAGTAATTTGTGGTGCTAAAAGAAGGGTCTAATCTCTCACAGTAATCGCTGCAGTTAAGTCTAACTTTCTAATTATTGTAAAGCTACCCAGGAGGTGTTATCGCTATTGTTTCTAACATTCTTCATTTGATCAAGCAGGGGTGTTTTTTAAGCACAGTGACCGAGGCTTATTCCTTTTCTTGTCATCAGCACCGCAGATGAGAGAACCCGAAGTATTTGTATGCTTTGGACTACAACACTTCTGAAGCAGGAGAAACCTAGCTCTGATGTAACTGCTGACAGTGGATGGGGGTTCC